AGAGAGAGAGAGAGAGAGAGAGAGAGAGAGAGAGAGAAAGGGTCATGAGGGCAGCCTCCCCAGATGCCCCTCTGCCTCCTTCCCCCCTCCTCTTCCTCCCCTCCCACTGCTTTCTCCTCTTCCTCCTCTCCCTCTCCCTTCTCCACCTCTCCCCTTCCCTTTCCCTCCGACAGACTCTGGAGGAGCTAGGCTGGCCTTGATTCGGTATGTAGCTGAAGATGGCCTTGAACTCCTGACTCCAGCTCCTGAGTGTGGGCATCACAGACCTGGGACTTCCTGCCTATCAGGTGAGTGCTCTCCTGAGGGGGCTCCTGCTTCTGTTTTCCCTCTTGCTCAGAATCCTCCCCACCAGTTCTCCCCCCCCCCCGTGTGTGTGGGGGGGTGGGGGCTCATCTCCCTCCCTTTTTTGCTCTTGCTTGGTTTATCCTGCTTCTCGAAGGACCGCCCTGAGACTCTGCCAGCCTTGTGGGAGCACCTGCGGACCTCTCCCTTCACCTCTCCTGGGGCTCTTGGCTCCGTCGGAAACCACCGTATAGTTAGGGATGCGCCTGTTGCTTTAATGTCGGTGTCCCTAGGGTGCTGGAGCAGGAACTGTTAGTGGCTTTCCTTTCCTCTGAATCTAGTCCAGACTGAATCTGGTACAGATCAAGCCCTCAGTAAAAATGTGTGGAGAGACGGAACGACAGCCTGTGTCCTAACCCAGGGAGTCCGTCTTGATTCTGGCTCCCTCTGCTCAAAGGCTCCAAATGTGAGCTGGGTAAAGAATTGATTGTGGGACCAAGCACTTGTCACCTAGATAGGAAGGCCTCCGTCCTGCTGGGGATCAAAGGACATCTGCTAAGATTAGGTGTAAGAAGGGACCCGTGAGGGTCAGGACTGTGTGGCCGTGTGTGGGGTCCACAGCCTTTCCCTTCTGTCTGATACTAGGCCCATCGCTCTCTTCCTCTAAAAGAATCTCCTCCTCCACCCCCTCCATCTGCCCTCCCACCTGCCAGGCCCCCACAGGGCCTGCTCAGGCTGGGCTTCCTGGAAATGGCTAGACAGAGCTCCACACTGTTTTTCTACTTCAGCAAGCCCTCTTGAAATACTACATTTTTAAAATTTATTTTTTATTTATTTATTTATTTTTATTGGCAAGGCCACATCATTTAACTAAGAGACCAATGGAGTCACATGGGTGTGATACAGTGAATAAAAACTAGGAAAGCAGATCAAGTGGCACTTCATATAGCCAGTTTACTAGCTAGGAATATTTCTTAAGCCAGATTCATGAGGGATTAAAATAGTCAGAATGATTCTCTATGAGAAAATATGTGGACTCCTTCTTCCAGGGTGTTCTCTCTCTCTCTCTAGATCAGTGTCTTTCCCTTTGGGCCCTTAGATGCGGCGAGGACTGTTGTCCTCCTGGGTTCAGGGTCATGTCCACATTGTAGCTGAGTAGGCATGTGGAGGAGATATTTCCTGACTCTGGTTGAGTGTGCCCATGCTCCACTGTCCAAAGCTTCCTCTCTTGGCACCCCACGATCTGAGTGAGTGTGGAGGTTGAGCAGGTGGTGGAATTCCAGGCCAGAAGCATGACACATGACTGCTGCTAGCCCTCTGCTGACCTAAAACCTTCATGCCCTTCAGGGCCCAAGCACAGGGAAGGGGTGTGTGTGTGTGTGTGTGTGTGTGTGTGTGTGTGTGTGTGTGTGTGAAGGAAAGCAGGGATGTACACAAGTTGGGGCTTATCATTTCCCACAGGGGTAAGCTTGGTGTCTTCAGCACTCTGGTGCTGGGCGAATGGTGGGGTGGAGGAACGGAGAACTCCCCTCATGTGCTAGGTAGCTCTAGGATGCCAGACTGATGGCCCAACTACCCTGCATCCATGGCCTGCACTGTGGGTGGGTAAAGGTGGGTGGTCCTAATCCTCAAAACTGCCTAAAGTGGAGGGCCATGAACCTCTGCAGAAGATACCTGGGTTGGGTCTTTCCAAAGAAAGCCTGGCCCGCTTGCTTTGAATGCCACTGGTGTCTACCGGTGTCCACCTCCTCCCCTCGCTCCATCACGAGTGCCACCACTAGTGTGGTCCCAGTCCCTCTTTGTCTCTGGCCTTTAAACTCTTGCCCTCCTTTCTTCCTGTAAGCGCAGCTGAGCCTGTGTGCACGGTCGTCGGATGCCTGCTGAGTCACTTTGCCAAGGAAGTCTTCCCCGCTGTCCCCAGCACCCCCAGCATCGTCCCCTTGGTGTCGAGCAGCAGGTATAATTGTGTATCTATTGGTGACCGCCTTTAAGCCCTTGACCAAGAGCCCTAGATGGGCAGCATTGCTCACATCTGAACTTCAGACCCTGGTGCATTAAACATCTGGTGAACAGGAGGCAATTAAACATCTGGTGAAAGAAGAAAGACTGACATCCTCTCTTCAGCTCAACTTCCTTCTTTACCCCATGACCCAAGAGTCCCCTTCTTAGATTAGCTGAACAAGAACAACAACAACAACAACAACAAAATTCCCAGTGGAGGCTGGAGAGATGGCTCAGTGGTTAAGAGCGTTCCTGTTCTCCCAGAGGACCTGAGGTCTGTTCCTAGCACCAATGTCAGAGGGCTCACAGCTGTCTATAATTTTAGCTCCAGGATATTCAATGCCTCTGGCCTCTGGAGGGCACCTGCACTCACGTGCATATGCCTGCATGCAGACACATTCCCCTACACATAATTAAAAACAATTAAAAAAAATTAAAAGCCTTCCAGTGACAGCCTGGTTCCTCCTCTAATTCCAGCCACACACAGCCTGCATACAGGTGTGTGCTGACTTATGATAGGGTTACGGGCTAATAAACCCGTTGTGAGTTGAAAATAATATAGGTCAAAAGTGTGTTGGGTGTATAGAGCCTACAGAGTGAGTCAGTTCAGCAGTGTGCTGTGGAGTGTTGGGTGGTTTCTCTCGCGATAAGTGGATGACTGGACTGGCAGCTAGCTCCCTGCACCTCCTGTTGATGGCCAGTAGAAAGGTCAAACTTCAAAATTCTAGATGTGTTTTCTGTCACGGAATGCGTATTGCCTCTGGATTGTATCATCAGGTCTAGTCAAAGGTTGTCAGATTGGAACCTTTTGTAATTTATAAAATGAAATCTAGGGACTGGGGATGTGGCTCAGTTGGTAGAGTGCTTGATGAGCATATAAAGAGCCATCATCACCTGTGCCCCCAAAAACAAATACATGAAATGAAAATCTAAACATACCTCTTCTTCCTGGACTCTCTGCTAACGGGAGAAAGCCCAGCTCTTTTCAAATGGTTTTGAGGCCCTTTGGACCTGGGTAGCTGTTGGCCTGGCAACTGCCTCCCACACCTCCCTCACCATCCCATCCTCCTTGATGCTACACTGACAGCAGCAGAGTTCCAGATGTACCTCCCATGCTCACAGCTCTCACTTTTCCTATGCCAGGGCCTCTTGGCCCTTCTTCCCCTCTTCCGGGGAGCCTGGAGTCCTCTTTTGGGCCCTCCCGGCACCTGTAGGAACCAGCAGTTCCCCCATCGCTACTTCCTCCCAGACTCTTGTTTCTAACCGTCCGTCCATCTTTCATGTTTGGGCCTCATGCCTCATAAACAGAGTCACTAAGCATTGACTGCACGAAGATCTCTTATCTCATGCCTGCCTGGGCATATGCTCCGCCAGGCGGGCCCTGGGAGGCTCCCCTCCCTTGTTTAATCCCGTCTTCAACACTCACCATCGAAGCTGCTGTTCCCCTTCTCCCCAGAGGTTTCCAGGGGCTCCCGGGAGATCCTCTCTCCAGCCAGCTGCGCTTCTGTGGCCCAGTGGGTGTACAGCGTGCTCTGCAGGGGCTAAGGAGGGGGGAGAAGGAGGCTGGGCCGGGACAGGTTCTCTCTGGTATCTAGTCTTCTAAGACACAGCAGGACTGTCACCCAGTTGCTAATGTGACAAGATAGTCCCATATTGATTCTGAAACAGCAGGGGGTTCTGTGGGCGGCCTGCTGTCTCAGATGCCCCGAACCTTCCCCTGCACCCCTTAACCTTCTCTCTGACACGTCACTGAAAGAGGATGTCTAGCACAGAAATTATCCTTCCTCACAGGTGCATGTGGCTCACAAAGACTAGGTCCTGAGGTACTCAGGGACTGGAAGATGTGAGGACACCGGAGACCAGTAGGTAGGTCTTGAAGGTGGAGTGTGGCCTGGGGCTTCCGGGACGGAAGAGCAGGTCCTGTCAGAGTTCTGAGGACAGGGGTCGCCTCCGTGCCTACCTCACTCTGCACAGCCACAGGCACCGAGGTTGGCTGACACATGGCAGCGGACCCCAACAGCAGGCGAGGGGCAGAGGGTGCCCACACTTTCCATGGAGGACAGTTGGCTATAATGAGCTTACTGAAGTTGAACGTGTAGGTAAACCTCTTGCCTTTGGTCTTGTACAGGATCCTCTTATTGTAGTAATACCTGGAAAATGGAGGGAGGAAGAGACTCAGCACCTCCTCCATCAACCTAGTGGATAACTGGAGGATACCAGCCATCTTCCCACAGCCAGGGCAATTCCCAAGCCCTGCCACAGTGGGAAGCAGCCTGGAGTGCCAGGAACCACATGCAGCCCTTTTCCTTGACCGCTCCCTCTTATACTGCTGGCTACCTCCCCTCACCTGAGGGCCCGGCTCAGCTTGTCATAGTTCATCTGCGGCTTGCACTTCCTGCGGCCCCAGAGGCGGGCCACTTCGTCTGGGTCCTTGATGACGAACTCCCCGTATTCTCCCTGCTGCCAGGCGATGACATGGCGGAACTCTTCCTTCTGCAGCAGCTCCAGGATGAAGTGCCACAGCTGGATCTGCCGGGAGCCTGGCGACGACTCGGCTTTGAAGGCCCAATCGGGGAAGGCCAGACCTGGCGTGGGGGGAGCGTGAGGGTCACCTACTGTCCTAGGGCCCCACCCAAGTCAACTTGAAGAGCCTGGGGAGGAGGCCGGGAGTCTCACCTGAGATCCAGTAGTTGACAGGGGTGGTCTGGATGCCTTCCGAGAAGCAGCGGCAGTACATGGTGAGTGGTAGGTGAGAAAGGCTTGAGTCTGAACCTCAGGCCTGCTGAAAACAACGGAAAGAATGGAGGTGAGGAAGGAAGAGTCCAGGACAGAAAGGGAGCTAAGGCAAGAGTTTCCTTGTATGCAGGGTAAGCCCAACCTGTGGGGACCTCCTTGGCTCAGAGGCTACCCCCCTCCCCCCGGGTGGTGGCTTGGGTCAGAGCCCAAGGAGAAACGGCAAATGGTCCTCCATCCTGAGCCGAGATGGAGGATTGAGACCGAGAGACAAACGGTCCTTAGGGCTCAGCAGGATTTTGATTTTGAGAAGAGGGAATGGTATTTATTTTTCTTTACGTTGAGTAGAGGAGCGGTGGCCTGTATACATACTGCCAACGTTTTCTGGTTGTTTTGAGACAGGTTCTCATGTAGTTCGCCGGCTGAGTCTCCCTCGGTGCAGCTGAAGCGAAGTTGACCTTGAACTCCTGACCCCGCCGCTGCCACCCGCTGAGTGCTGGTAGTGTTGGCATGCACCACCACACTTGGCCTCCCCTTCTGGTAACTTTTACAACAGTTTCACATTGGAGAAAGGCAGGGATTTTTGTGTTGTTTTCACCAAAGCCCAAAGGCCTGGTGCACAGTGGACCCTAAGTGACCGCTGACAGAATAAACGACCGCTAATGACGTTCCAATGCTCTCATTCTTTTGTTGCTGCATTAAAAGAAAAAAAAAAAAAAGGTACCGCCTTTGCTTCTGTCACTCCAGAACTATGTAGGACCTAGTCTTTATCTTGTATGTTTCCTCCGAAAGTTGTTACCTCCTTTCAGGGTAGTTTAGGGGCAGCACCCACTTTTAGAGTCTCCCTCCCACAGCCTGGGGCCCGAGAGGGGAAGTGACAGATTTAGGTGAATGGATAGATAGATAGATGGATGGCCTGAAATGATGGGGGCCAGGGCTACCTGGCCGAGATCAGAAATTCAAGTCATGCTCCTCCAGGCTTGCCCCTGTGCGTCAGGGAGGCAGAGGTGTCGTGTCTGGCCAGGGCCAGGGTTGTCCGCCGCTGGGCCACGCCCCTGTCTGCCGTCTCAGCATGGCTGTGCTGCGGCTCCAGAGCTCCTGTGGCTGTGGGTGCCTTTCTGACCCCCTTCTCCTCCTCCGGGTGAGAGGGAGCCACGGCCTCTGCGCTTGGAGCTTCCCAGGCTATCCTAAGATTGGAGCCAGCCTGGACAGGGCCAGCCAGGTCCTGGGAGTGGCTGACCCACGCATCACAGATGCGCCTGTGGTCGTCTAGACCACTGACAGTCCCTGGGCCATCGAGATTCAGGAGCCGCCCTAAAGGGGCTAGGCTGGCCGACAGTGAGCCCAGAGGGGCCAAGGGCAAGAAGTATGGGATCTTCGTGGATTTGTGTGGCATTTTTGTTCGCTGAGATGCCAATCTCTATCTAGTTCTACTTTCAGCATATCCGCTGTTCAAGCCGGCACTCGATAGTATCTGTCCTTGACAGCTGTGCCCCCCTTGGAGCTCAGGAACCCCGACTGTCTTGTTCAGTGCTGGCCATTTGGATCCCATCCTGGCGCCGTGCCTCGTGTTCATAGGTGCTTAATGAACCGTGGGTCAGGAAGAGGGATCTTGCTGGTTCTCGGGGTGTGTCGTCAGGGAAATCAGGGAAAGGTTTTAGAACTATCTCCGGGGAGACAGGCTTGCCGGAGGTAGGCTAAGGGAAGGGCAAGCCTGGGCTGAAGAGAGGATGCTGGCACATGATGCCGGCTTCTACGGCCACTAGGGGGGTGTGATTAGTGTGTAAGAGGACTGAGGAAGGACAGGAGAGAGGGCCACAGAGCAGGACGGGGAGCCTTAGCTCTGGTCTCCCGTGCTGGTGAGTTCGGCATTGTTCTCAACTAGAGCTTAGTAGGTCTGGAGGGCACACAGACATCGGTGTGTAGCAGCCTCCTGTCATTCCAGAAAAGACTTAAGAGAGAGAGGGTGACTTGACCCAGGCCCACAGAGTAGCTACAATCGCCCTTAGAACTCTCTCTGCTGAGTTTCCCCAGGACTTAAAAACATGTCACCCATGGCAGCGCATCTTGACTTTCATGAGCATGAGAATCATCTAAAGTCTTTTCAAAATAGGGATCTTGATCACATGGGCCGGCGGAACCTATGGCAGCACACGTCTGACATGCTGTGAGGTACTTGGCCATGTGTCCCTGAACTGTGATTTGAGTGTCAGGAACCTCTGGAGCATAGCTGGTCTTAGAGGCCACTCCGAGCTTCCCCAAGATCATTCGCTAAGTGAAAGACTAGAAAGCAAGACCTCAGATCAAATTCCTAAGACTCTAGTTGGGCATGGTGTACGTGCCTGTAAAGTCCTGCACTCAGGAGGCAGAGGCAGGGAGATCATCACAGGTCCAGGCCAGCTTGGGCTACACAGAGAGTTCTAGGACAACCTGAGTTACACAGTGAGACCCTGTAAAGAAGAGGAGGAGGAAGAGGAGGAGGAGAAAAGAAAAGAGGGGATCCAGAGCTGTGGACATGTAGGGTTAATGACATGTATGTGTTCTAGAACTAGGCACATGTAGGGTCCCTAGGCCTTGCTTATGAAAGGGGTGTCCTTACATTTTCATGAGAAAAAAAAAAAGAAAGAAAGGAAAAAGACAAGAAAAAAGATTTACACAATTCAGCCACGGAGATAGGCAGGCTGCTGACACCTCCTCCCCTACCTGAAAAAAGACAAAACAGTCGTGGGGCATGACTGTTCCCAGCACTTGGAAGGCAGAGGCAGAAGGAACAAGAGTTCAAGGCCAGCCTCAGCTACATAGCAAGTTCGAGGCCAGCCTGGGCTACATGAGACCTGTCTCAATAAACGAAACAAAAGAAACCCAAGCACAGCATAAGCAAGTGGCTCCCCAAACAAAACCCCAACATGGAGCCAGAGTGGTGTGGGGTTGGGGGAGACTGAGTCTCCTGGACTTGGTGCAGCAGCTTCCTGCCCAGATGTGCCACGCTTGTGCTCATGAGTGCTCAGGAAGCTTGCCAGCCCTGGGTGTGGGAAGCCTTGGTGACAGATAGGAAGTCCTGCCAACTGTCTCCTGAAAATCCTTCCTTTCCTGCCTGCGGCCCTGAGCTGACAGGGGAGGCTTCCCAGAGAAGAGCAGCTTTCAGCTCTGCCTCCGTGGGTGTCAACTGTCTTTGTCCCTTAACCTTAATTCCTTGTGTGTCACTTTTAACAACAACAACAAAACCCTTCAACTTTATTAGCGTGTCTGTGTGTGCATGTGTGTGCACCCACGCCGTGGCCTGCGTGTGGAGATCAGAGGACACGTTTGTGGAGTCTGTTCTCTCCTTTCATTTTGAAGTGGGTCCGGGGAGCTAACTCAGGTCACCAGGCTCGCTCGGCAAGCGCTTATCTGCCAAGCCATCTAGCCAGTCTCTTGTGTCGCTGTGACCTACACAATGGCGTAGAACTTCCCCGGCTGGGAGCATCCCACTCTGTGCCCTCCGACCTGTTCTCGGGAACCCCCGCTTTGGCTCTCTTGTGCTGTGGGCTGCACACTCAGAGACTGGCCACATTCTGTGTGCTGCCCTGTCAGCAGCCCGGCGACACCCATGGCAAAATTGGCACAGTGGCTGGGTACGGGGAACCATAGATCTTAAAGGACCATAGCCCCGTCTGGAATGGTCACTGCGGGTCTCCAGAGCACTTTGTATTTCTGGAAGGGCTACAGCAGCAGGTGATTGTTATTACCACCGCCATCACGCTGATTACTAATAATGTTAATCCCCTTGGCCAGTACAAGTGTTCATTACGACACAAGTAGGTTCTAGGTCATTATTTAATAGAAGCAGTAGAGATAATGATGAGAACAATAAGGAGTAAGGCTTAAGCTGGGCGCGGCACCAAAGAAAACCTCCCGAGCTGCTGCTGCTTCTCCTCTTTACACTTGCGGCCCTGTGAACTGGGATGGTCACGGTTCAGGCTGGGGTGCCGCTCTTGTTAAGTTTCTTCACTGATTCCTCACAATAACCTTTTGAGGTCAGCATTGGCTGCATTTTGTAAGCGGAGGAAACAGAGGCTCAGAAAGATTAAGAGACTTGCTCAAGATCCTGCCAAGTGGTGGAACTAGACAGGAACAGGTCTGTCTGACTCCAGGCTCTGATGGGATTGGTCAACCGGGGCAGAAGAGTTGAACTCTAAGGAGAGAGGAAGGCTGCCAGGAGCCCTGCACACCCCCCACCGCCCCAGAGGAGACTGTCCAGCCAAGCCTGGGGTGTGGGCTCTTTGCCAGAAAAAATTTCAACAGTAGATCCAGAAAGCCAGAGGCCAGCTGCCCAGTGGGCAAAGTCTGAGAGCACACAGACAGACAGACAGACACACAGACGCACAGAGACATTGACACATACACACAGACAGAAAGACACATACATACAGATATGGGCAAATACATACAAACACACACAGACACATAGAGACACACAGACACAGACACACAGACACAGGCACACACACAAATAGATGCACGGAGACACAGACATACATGGACACATGCACACAGACATACACATAGAGACAAACAAGACACATATACACACAGACACACACATATACAGACATGGACACACACACACAAACACACACAGACATGGACACATACACAAACACACACAGACATGGACACATACACACAAACATACACAGACACAAACACAGAGACACATAGAGACACACAGACACATAGAGACACACAGACACAGAAACAGTTGCACACAAACACACACAAACACACAAGAGACACAGAGACACACACAGACACACAAATAGATACACAGAGACACATATAGACATACACAGACACATGCACACAGACATACACATACAGACAGACAAGACACGCATACACACAGACGCACACACATACAGACGTGGACACATACAAACGCACACACATACATACACAGAGACACATAAGACACTAACAGACATATAGACACAGACACACACAAACACAGAGACACAAGAGACACACAGACATGGACACACACAAATAGATACACAGAGACACATAGAGGCACACACAGACACATACACACACAGAGAAACACACACACAGAACAATACAACACATACACACATGGATGCATACACACAGACACACACACAGATCCGAACACACAGAAACATACAGACACAGATACACACAGACACATACACACATAGATATACAGAGACATAGACAGACAGACATACAGATACACATTAAGAGACAGACATGCACACATGTAGAGACACACACAAAGACATACACAGACATACAGACACACACGTATTACACATTAGCATTTGAGCACGTATGTAGAAACGTACAGTGGAAGTAATTTTGAAGTCCTGGATGGGGGGAGCTCACAGTGTAAACCCAGCACTTGAAAGGCAGGGACAGGAGGCTTGCCCCAAGTTCAAAGCCAGCCTGAGCTTCAAAGAGAGTTTTAGTCCAGCAAAGGTGCCGTGGGTGGGCTCTGCCTCAAACAAAACAAAACAAATTGATAAAAGTTATAAAAAAGGAAAGTCACGCTGTCACTGGGACCAAGTGACCAGAGCGACTGGGCAAAACCGAGGCTCCACTGAGTCAGCAGGAGCAGACTCATGAGCGAAGCCGCGAGAGGTGGAGCCTGGACGGTGAGGTCCAGAGCCGACACCCCACCCACCCAC